GAGAACTGAAGGAAGATTTGCCACAACAAAAGATACTAGAGGATATTAGCTCTTGGTACTGGCAGCAAACTAATAACTGTTCATCAAGAAATCAGTATCTTCAAATATTTTCAACCTCAGGCATGGAGAGCACTTGAAAGCAGCTGGGAGACCTGTGTTTTATATTAAATGAGTTGGAATGCTTGGTGTCTCAGTTATAGGAGGTATTTAATTATGGAGAGTTGTAAATTTTGACAATAAGATTTACAAGGAGCTGGGTATATACTTATTTTTGGTTTTTCTGAATATCTTATGGGGCATCTGCACCTTTTTGTGCTAGTGCATCTTTGCACATCTATCCATCAGTTTGGTGCCTCAGGGATCTGGTTTAAATATATACACAGCCTGTCTTGCTCACAGACAGCACCTCTATTATTTCAGTTCTGTGTCCTGTCCCTGAGAATAGCTAGTTCCAAATTATTCAGGAGTAAACCAAGTATTACCCTATACCATGAATTAATAACTTTGTTTTCATTGTCTAATACCTTGTCATGCTCTTGAATGACACCTTGGAGTACTGAGTGCTGGTTTAAAATTAACTCTGTTTTACCAGTTTAGATCTTTCGACTTCATCTACTGTGAGAAAAGAGAAATAAGAATGTGAATTTACTTTTTCTACATTTAATACTTCAGCCACATACTGTCTGGTGGCAAAGAGTGGTTCCTTAACATTCAGTAGCATCAGCTCAAGCCCCTCCATAGCATTCCCAGCAAACTAAATTACATTGTCTATCTATTCATGATGAAAATGGTTTCCTTTTTCATAAGCAAGGAACCCTGAAGGAAAAAAGAAAGCCTTATTAAATGGAAAGCAGAAAAACAGAGTAATAAGCAGGCTGTGATCTCGAGCTCACCCTCTTCCCACAACAGATGGGCAAGTCACTGATCCTGTCCTACCTTGGCTAAGTTCTATGCACGGTTCCTTGCCCAGGCTCAGGGGACCGCATTGCTGGCCACCTCCATCTCTGCCCCTGAAGGAACATGCAATCCCCCAGGTCTCTATGCCAGCTGGGAGGGAGGCAGAGAGGGGATGCCATAGGCTAAATAGCATTAGTCAGACCATCCCATCTCTTTGCAGCCTCTCTTCAGAAATTATTCTTCCTGCTTCTAACATCTCACCTCTTAGTACTGGCCCCACCTGTGCTGGCCGTCACCTCAGTACACTGTATCAGCTTTTTTTTCCTACCTGTTTTTGGTTTTACTACTGAAGAAATTAAAATCCAGATCCCTTTTCCTCTTGTTTCCCTTTCCTAGGACTCCTCCCTGCTCTCCTGCAAGGCTACATTGCTGGCTGGGGTGACCCCCCAGCCTGCCCTTGGTCTGGGCACAGCAGGGTTTGTCCATTCCTTACCACATGTGATTAGCAGCATTTTATTCATACTATCCTCAAACCTGGCAGTATTTAAACAGGAATGCTCCACCTTAGTACAACTGCTGTACCCGTGATGCCAGCTCCCCTGGTGCCCCTCGCTCTCTAGCAGATGCAGGCAGAGGGATTCCCACAGAAGGTTGCCTCTGGCCAAAGCTCCAGATTGCTCTTCTTTCCCTTTGCCCAGAAGTGTCAGCCATGAACTCCTGCCTGTTGCATCAGGCTCCATGTACTGTTTATCATTTCAGATCTCTTCTGCTCTTCCCTTTCCTTCGTGTCCTCTCTTAATGTAAATAGTGCCAACCTTTCTAACCATGAAATCGGTTAGACACACAACTTTTTTGCTGGTTTTCTGAGCTGCTTCCATATGTGCTATATGCTACACTGGACAGGTGTATCTGAGCCAACACTATCTGCAAGCATATTTAAATTGACTTTAATAATACTGCTGCATTACTTCCTTGGTTTTAATGTCACTTTGCTACTCAGGAGAGCATTTTACTTACTTTTTGGCTGCTATTTCTTACTGAGTTGTTCAGAAGAGGACCCAATTTTGGCCTACTATTGATTTTCTTGTGACTGCTCATTCTGGAACATGCACAGAAGCTAATCAAAATGAGGGTAAAAATATATTGTTCAACTCATAGTTACTTCTAAGAAAAAAACCTCCCAGCATAGCATTTCATGCCTGTGCCAGACAGAAATGGTGGTTAAGCGGGAGATGTATCTATTCAGATAGATCAATGAAGCAGGCAAGGAGGCAACTGCAATCAGCTGCACCACTGGGATGTGTCATTCACACTGGGACCACCTGGACCAGAGCTCATGTGATGGACCTCACTTGTCAGCCCTTGTCTCTCACAGAGCATTTGCACACCCCAGAGCAATTCACAGGGGCCCTACCCACCTTTGGACATGGTTGAAGAGCAGACTGCAAAATGGGTGAAATAGTTCAGCTGAGGAGCAGGCAACTCTTTCTCTCAGGGACTCCATGCTATCGGCTTGCCCACTGTTGGGACAGTGCCCTCGGAAAGATGGCAGCAAGGAACAGACTGACAATAGTAGAAGAGTTTGACTACATGTCTCCTTGCTACCTGATGTGAGCAGTGTTTGGGAAGAAGGACAGGCAGAGCAGTGGCAGGGATGCCATGGTTCTCCATGTGTGTGGAAACTTTCCTAAGTGGTACTCTCACTCAGGCAGTGAGCAGATGTATGCAGCATGCATGGTATGCTTGACCTCCCCCATCTACAATAAATCTGATGCGCTCCTGAAACACTGAGCTTGCTGCACATTCACCAGCTACCTGGCTATAATCACAGGAAGGCTAGCCGCCTTCTGCAGCAGGCAGACCACATGTCTGTCTTCCTGCCACAAGACCAGACACCCATTCTGTAGGTGATTGTAGATATTTCTGTGAGGCAACAGATAGCAGGAGGGCTTTGTGAACCAGGACAGAATGGAAAGAGTCTGCAGCTGACTGCAATGATTGTTTGCCTTTCAGTAATTCATCCTATAGGACCTGGCAGACTTAGCCTCAGCCAGGTGGAGAGAGAAAACATCAGCCTAGAAAATGTCTGATATGTTTTTTCTTTACTTTTTTGAATCCGTAAGTGGTGGGCGGAGGCTGACCTTTCACTACCTGAAAAGTCGGAATGTATTTCCTTACTTTTTTTTTGTTGGGCACCGAAGAATCAAGAGCCACCATCCCTCTGCCAGGGAAAATGAGAACCCAAAAGCTCAGGGACAGTTTTCCACAAACTCCCTTGTCACACTGTTCTGTCACCTCCTAGTCCTGGCTCTGGTTAAAGTTCTGTCATCATCATATCAAAGGGCCACATGCCAATACCAGAGGCTTGTCAGTAAAAGGTACCAGTCAGATGTTAAGACAACGTGCTCACAAGTGACAGACTATATTGCACCCTGGCTAGAGCAGTGTGACATAACTCCAGTTGTTTGCCAGAGGAACATCCCAAAGTCATTTCTGGCTGCCAGTGTCAGCAGCAGCTGGATATTTCATGTCCATGTTTTAGATTTTGAGGATAGTGTTGAAATCCCCACTCAGCAGTAGGAACCTAATAGTCAAGTTTTTAAAAAATGGAAGTTTCTGACTTTGGATTGAGTCATTTAAATGCTGCGAACATGAAATACCTATTTTTTCATATGAAAACCAGTATGTTCCTACAAAATCTTTCAGTGTGACTCCAGATTTCCTGGTACAAAATTGTTTGCCTAGACATATTTTGATCTCTAGCCAAAGATTTGATTGTCCTTGCCAATAAAAATGTTCTTCAAGCCAGGACCAAAGAATAGTTTAGAGTGGACCCACCACAGAGAAGTGCAGTGTATATGCCCAGCTGTCTAAGTGTGTTGACCGCAGAGGCATGAGAATGATGTGAGCTTTGTCTCTCTTCTCCCATTGACTGCTGCGTCTGGACCTTCTTTTTAACAAAAATGGGTGAAAGATTTCCAAATACTTGGTGGTCACAGACCATGCATAATCATTATGGCCGGCTACTAGAAGAATCCCCATGATCACAATGTTTCCCTGCAGTAGCTCCTTTTTTGACCTAGGCAGAGATCAAACCTGTATCGGTACATCTAGCGTGTAATAAGTCATCCTCATAAAAAGGTTCTCAGCACTTGAAAATGCTTGATGACTTACTTCAAAAATTAACTGTCCTCAGGATTAGCAACATATGTGTAGCTTCTGTTCTGAATTTTATTCTGAATTTTTACTACTAGTTCTTAGACCTATTCCAAATAGGCTGAAGAGCCGTTTATTATGAATTTTTTGTGCTACATCCTCCCCTGTAGCCATTTTCATATGCCGTAATTAAGTTAGTTCTTCATTTGGCAGGCTTATAGACGTGCTGCAGGGAAAATGTATTGAGCACAGAGAAGCTGCAATATTTCTCATCCCCAGGATGCAGGCTTCAAAGCTCGACAGCTAAGCTTGCAATGACATGATCACCGAACCTTTCAAGCCTTCATGATTTATTATGAGGAAGTATCTTGATTTCAAATGCTTCCCTGGAAGTCATCCTCACTTCAAATGTGAAAGAAGCCTTTCTTGTGACCTTGTTTCATTTTTAGCAAGGATAAGTTCAAACCAGAGAGTTAAGAATGATCAGTGGAAAGGAGGGGATGGACCGACACTGAAAGATCATCATAGTTCTTTGCTTAAGAGAAAAGTTTGATTCTTACTGCATTCAATGCTTCCTTATTCCCCACTTGCCCATCCGAGTCTCTCATGGCGTGCTCTGTTCATGGAGGCCTGATCACAAGTTTTACAGGGTCTCCTGTGACCAGAGTCAGGCAGAACCATAGGAAGATGGTGGAAAGACACCCATCTCACACATATGATAGAGAATTAGGCATCCAAGAGAATCCATGACACTTGTTTGAGGAGGTGTGGCTGGCATCACTAGGGTGTCTGTCAAAGTTGGTATGTGTCCTGCACAGGATGTTGAGTGGGGGTGTCTATGGGGCATACTAAGAAGTTGATGGGAAAATGCAGAACCACTGTGGCAGTGTGGGGTCCTGGTGTATAGCTGGGATCACTTTTCATGTCTTTCTTTTGCAGTTCTCAGAGATGGGCTCTCCATAATGCCTTGGTTATGAAGAAAGAAGGACTGCTGAATTGTTGTTTTGCAATGGAGAAGACGGAGGGAGAAACACCAGCACTGTGGCTCCCACCCTGTTGCTTATCTCCCTGCAGACATGTGTCCCAAATCCTCTCTGTGCTGTATTAAGGAAAGGAAAACCTTAGACATTAGCACATCTATTTTCTTATATCACCTTTTCCAGTTCTGCATCTTATAACTCCCTGGTGAAAGGAGGAACAATGACTTTATATAGCTGCTGCTTGGTTCTTTTGCTATTTACCTGGAACACAGCTGCCTATGGGCCAAACCAACGGGCACAGAAAAAGGGAGACATTATTCTCGGAGGATTGTTCCCCATTCATTTTGGAGTGGCTGCTAAAGACCAGGATCTAAAATCAAGACCAGAATCAGTGGAGTGTATAAGGTAAGCCACAAAAAAAGAGAAAATAAAAAGTTTTGGTGGGGAGGTCTTGACCTTTCTCGACTCCAGGTGACATGCTATACACTGTGTAAATACAGTCTGTGATCTGCTGCTTGTAGAGGCAATGGGAAGGTTTGGTGTACATAACAGAAAAGACAAGTGTGTAAAGACAGGAAGTGCATCTGTTACACAGTAATGTAACTAATATTTGGACAGGGAAAGAAAAAAGTCCAAAGCTGCCAAAACACAAATATGCTGATCTATCTGGCCATTCACAGTGGGCATTTGAATAGTATCTGAAAACTACCTTTCCTAGCAGAAGGATGGAAAATAACCCATAGAGCCCTTAAGTTAATTTGATTACAGTCATGCATGGCAAAATAGCTTAGAAGTCAAATTTTGGGGTTTTTTTTTCCAGTTCTGCCTCTCATCTTCTAAGACTTTACAAGCTGTTTAGTTGCCTGAACAAGTGAATAGATGAAAGTGAGATAGGTCACTGAACACATAGATGTCTCTTTAGGACCTTTACAGAGTCCCAGACTTGAACTCTTTACCCAAGCTTCCTCACCCAAAGTCCTTTTCTGTGTAAACAGTGCATATAGGTTTTGTCTTAAGTCTTTGGTAGTTTACTCTGGAGGGAGAAATCCACATGAAAACAAATCCTTTTATTATTGAAGCATAGCCATTTTTATGATGAAACATGAGGAATTTTTAACCCTGCACAAATACACAGTTGGAAAGTGTGACAGAAACTGATTGCAACTGAAATGTCATATAAACAAAATACAAGAAATGGATGTGGAATTTTGTCATGACCATGCATGGGAAAACACTTCAATGTTATGGGACCTCTTTTGTAATCAGATGTGAAAAATTGCATATCTGGAATTACTTGGACTGCTCATCTTAGGGTGGGATCTAGTACAGTTTTGTTGCAGATGGTAATGAGGAATGGCTGACAGCATTCCTCCTGTGCTTACAGATTCCAGGTGCGGTTTCCTACTGAGACACTGAGCAGGACACATCCATCTAGGTTATGAGATCATCTCCAGATGCTCTCACAGGGAGCACACAGGAAGTAGTGTAATTAAACAGGGTTTCTTTTGGCTGCTTCTGTGTGTGCACACGAAAGTCATGAACTAAATGTATGTGGAATGTCTGCTTCACGGAGCAAGAAGCTCTTTCAGCTTGTTTCAGCATTTTTTATCTCTCCTGGATGTGGCACTTTAAAAGTGGAATGCTGAAAAGCAATGGGTGTTTTCAGCTCGGTTGTCTTCTTCACCTGCTCCATGTGGCAGCCAGACAGTGCAGATATTTGCAAACTGAACACAGCATTCATTTCTGTCAGTGCTGGGTCAGCCTCAGGGACTCCCTTGACACAGTCAAATTATTAGAACAGATCACAAGAGAATGTTCCCCCATGAGTGTTATCAGTGCATGGTTGCCAAACAACTGGCAAATCCTGAAAAGCCAGACCAGCTGTTTTAAGGACACAATGGGAGATCTTTCTGGGGGGCATTGGATCTGCTAAAAGGCATACTCCACCTGAAATTTGCCTGGGTAAAATCTATGTTCCTCTTACCCCTGCACCAAGAAGCTGTAGGTGCCAAAGACAGGAGTTGACTAAAGAGGACTTTCCTGGACTCCCTCAAGGAAATGGATAAGTTGTGAGTTGGTAGCATAATGCAAATAGAGAGAGAATACTTAATGAAAGGCAGTGATTTAGCTGCAGAGGTAGTAGCAGCAAGTACAATAGGAACAAGGGGATGATTGGACCAGAGATGACTGGAAGCTCCTTCTCTGCACATGTCGTTACTAGAAAATGTCCATTTCCAGGAAAGTTTTAATTCAAAAGAGATTGGGTTGGGAAGGCTTTTTGAGACTGACGATCAGATTTTAGTGATGAAGATAATTAATCCATCAGACAGTTCTTGTGCTATGATGTATTCCTTGTTATTGGTACATTTCCTGAAACTATTTTCTATTTTAAGCAGGATTTAAGTCAGAAAATTCCTCTGGCTGATCTTGTACAGAGATCTGTCAACACAACCATAGTAGTCCTTTTTGGTTTTGGAGTCCATGATTAGGTAGTAGCTTGGGGCAGGGTTGAGCATGCTGACTCTAAGAGCCCAATGCATTCTTCAAGTCATGAATATCAATTACATGAATATTCCTCAGTTCTGGGTAGGTGGCTAGTCTGGAATGAGCAAACTCGTATTTTCGGGGGGAAGAAGAAAAACATAGGCTCTAGTTTCTTTCCAAAGTAAAATCTCCCCAATTCTGTAGTGTCAAAAACTTTTGCAAGGTGAGAAATCCACTAGAGGACCATAAGCATGGCTGTACCCGGTCAAACCAAAGGCACTGAATCTATTCCATACCTTTGACTGCCCTTGTTGGCTTTCTCTGAGCCTTCTCCAGCACTGCTGTATCATTTCAAAGCTGAGGCTAATCAGTTTTATACCCTTTTTAGATGACTGTGTACAGCTTTTAATCTCTTTTATTACGTAGGAATGTGCGTCTCATATCACCTAAGACCCAGGTCACTCTAGTAGTATGTGGGCATCCTTTCTCTTTCCTTATACTCCTCTGTTAGGTGGCAACAGCAACAAGCCATCAGACCATACGACAAGCTCCTTGCTTTGAAACCAAGAGAAGACCTAAAGGTCCCACTGAAACCCTGTGAGTGGTTACCCATGTCTCTTCTGGAGTTCAGTATCAAACAATTCAAGATAAGGTGGCTTTCCTTTTTTTTGAGGACTGTTCAACCTGATCTGTGCTGTTTGGCATCTTCCCACACATTTGGTTGTGTTCAGTGCCATATCTTTGCTCCCAAACAGGGCTTCTCAAAATGAGTAGGACAGTTTTCTCTCCACTTTTTCAGTTTTCTCACTTTTCATACTCTTGTGGCATGGCACCTTTCTCCCCTGCTCAGCATACATACTAGCCTGAACCTATTGTGCATATCTTGCACACAATTATTTGGAAAACTATATACATAACTCAGCAGTGAAAGTAAAAGAGAATAGTAATGATCTGTTCTCCATTCTTTTTGTGCTGATTCTACTGAAAATGCATCTTCACACTTTAAGCACCGAGTTGTAGAGTCCAAAGTGAAAACTTACTCATGATTTTGCCTCACCAAATGTCAGACAGGAGTACAGAGAGTGAGAGCAATTTTGTGTCCTGTGTTTCAGAAATACTTACATGTCTTATTCTTTAAGCAATCAAGTATCCTGCATTTGATATAAATACACCTTCTGTCTTTGTATGCCTCGGGTGCTGTTGCAGCAACTTTCCGTATAACATTTGCTGATGCATATCTGATGTCTGCAGTGGAGGCAGAGGCTGAGCACAGCACAAGCAACCCCTGACCCTCATTCCCTGTCAGCACCCACAGAGGCCTATTCTTAACCTGATTTCTCCGTCCCTTATTGATTTCAGGTAGATTAGCAGTAGTGGTGGTGGTAATGTTGGTGTTATTATTAGCATTATTGCACCGATGGGTGGTACCCATGGATTCCTCCCATGGATTCCTCTCACTGTAATGAACTGTTTGCAGTGAGGACATATCTTTACTGAGCTAGCATACAGTGTTGCCAATATGATGTCACTAGTTCATAATTTTTAATGCATATTCCCTGTCTTCTAATCAGCAATCTAGCCAAGATCCCACACTGTGACATTTAGCTTTTCAGGCTGTGAAACTGTGGTGAGACATCGTCCCCATCTCATAGCGCAGGACTTCACAGAGCATGGCTCCGGGACACTTTAGCTCACTGACTCTGTCTGTCCATCTGAGAGAGCAAAGAATTTTAATTCTACCCCTTGTGGATGTATTTGTTAATCCCACTGCAGAACTGAATGCATAACATGATATTTAGAACTTCATCTCTAAAACCAAATTATTTCCTTTTCCTCTTTCTCTTCCACCCACTTTCTGAATTTTAGTTTTTAATTTTTTTTTAAATTTTATTTGGTTTGCACAATACCCCTTACCCATAGTCCTACCTTGTAAGAGTGGTAAGCAACTCGTTATACACACCAACTGCAGGAATCCAACAAATGACTGAAGGTCTCCACTTTGCATAGCTTAGTAATAGCAGTGGTAGTAGCAGCAATAACATGTAATTAATGTACTGGAAATCTAGAGAGGACAGAGAAATTAGTATGTGCATACAACCACTAGAGAAAGAGGAATATTGGCATGAGCCAAGAGGCATATGCAGGCTTTGCCACCATTCTTGAATAAAAGTACCTGTCAGATACAGGATTCTTCTTTTCCTTCATATTCTATTGCTTTTTATTTGGTTTTGATAAATTAAAGTCGTGAATTCACGAAATTGCTCCTCTATGGAGGCTAACAGGGATCAGGACTAGCTTCCCTGCTGGATCCAGACAGTATGAGCTGTTCAAACCAACCCAGACAAGGAAACACACAGACAAATTGAGCTCCCTGTACCTCCATCCAGTCTGTCTGCTACAGGGAGCTCAATCCATGCAGTGAGCTTATGTCCCTAGGCTATACGCCCTTACTTTGTAACATTCACTGAGACATTTAAGCCATCCTGAGCACCCCTGGGTAGACACATTTATACCAACTAAAAAGAAACCTACAGGAATCAGCAAGATCTTGTGAGTTTACTATCTAGCAAACTGGGCTGCTGCAAAGATAATCAGTCCCCTGGAGATGTGAAGATTAAGATGAGGTTTTGTGGAGGAATTGTTTCTGATTGCTCTTTCCCTGTTTGTGCTCCTGCCTGGGAATAGAAAGATCAGTGGGTTGCATACTCTGACAGGTGAGAGAACTGGCATGAGAGGGGAAACATTTAAAGAACTGAGTGTAAATAAAAATTCCTATCTACACCTTTGGGCACTGAATTATTTACATTAAACTCTCATTTAAAGCTTAATGACCACTTTTCATAGCACCACATCTCAGAAATGTTAAAATACAAGTCTATGCCAATGTACCTGTAAAGTAATACGGCAGAAAGTAAGTTTTGGAGGCTGCTTATTTTCCACAAAGAAAATATCAGTTGCTATTTAAAGCTTCTGGAAATCTAATGAAAAGTTCGCTTCTGTTAGCAAATCCTTTGCAGTTTCTTCATGGAAATTACCAGTCAAATTTCTGCATCGTTGACAGAGCATTGCAGTGACTAGTCATAGTAGTCACAGCAGCAGCATTATGTAGGAGGTCAGCTGGATTGGTGTGACCTGCTACCAGGTTCAAAGGCTGCTCTTACCCATCACTCATGTACACAGCAAGCCAAGAGGAGCCTATCTGCAGCCCCTTGCTGGGGTCTTACAGTACAGTGGAAGAGAATTTATCCACACAATTTCCATTCACAGGATTGAAGGAATCATGAAATGTTGCTTCATTTAGACTAGTTTAGTGGCACTGCCATCATCTGACCATATCCGTGTTAGCTCTGGTACAGTACTGATACAACACTGTATCAGTTAACAAAATGAGACCTTGTCTGAAGCTCTATCAGGTATTAGAGAAGACAGAGAAAGGTATGTTTGTCTCCATCCCATCTGATCCTCTTCCCCTGATCTGCTGATGCTGCTATCAGCAGAGGTGCAACTGAAGAGAACTGCAGGTCTCCTGCCCAGGCTAGTTTGAGGTAAATTACCAAAAGCATTTCAAAGACATTTTGGAATCTAGCTCCCAGAAGACACCCCTGCCCTCCTTTCCCCGCCAAAATAAACCCAATCCAAATTCAAGTACCTGAAGTACAGGCCTTATGCTGTAAATAAACATTCATCGGGAACACATGTCAGAAAGGAAAATAACAGGAATTGTGCATCATGGGCCTTAGCCTGCATCTACTGAATTAAATGGCAAACGTGTTCGCTGAAGTCAGGGAGAAGACAGTCCGGTTCTCACTGCTTTTGAAGATACCACCTTGTTGCATTTAAAAAGAATTAAGCTGTCAAGCAGGCAAAATAATTCCGTGTCATACTCCACCTGCATAATTTAATATGAGCAGGCTTAAATTTACTGTTACACATACTCGATTGTGTGAAGCTTTTCAGAGTGGCAGAAAATAAGTTTTGGAGGCTGCTTATTTTCCACCTTTGAACTTTCCAGCTTCTCAGCAGTCTTCCCTTTAAATATAGAAAATGCTTTCAGATTTCTGAATATAGTTCCTTGCTTCAAATCCTATTTTCATTTTAATTAAAAAATCTGTAAATACATTTAGCTTTTTAAGAAGAAGTGTCACAAAACCCCTCTTTGCTGCCATTCATCCCAGCGAGCATTACTGACCACATGAGGCAGTGTGGTGTGCCCGGCACAACTTTTCTCTGTGCACAACACTCACTGCCTCATTCACTCTGAGACTTGTCCTTTTATTTCAGAGCTCTTCCATTGCATCTCATTCCTCAATGGTTTGAAACTAGAGCAAAAAATAATCTAAATGACCAAATTCTAAAAGTAATCCGTATTCACGTGTTCTAAAGGGTATCCATTTTCTTAAGCATGCTCTTAAAATAGATAGTTGTCCCTGTGGTCATAAATTATAACTAAGGATTTTTATTGGCCTCAGACTTTTTGGCTTGAAGAGATTTGTAATGAAACCATGTTGTCTGGTCTTTGAGATACAGCCTCAGAGCAGAACCTCATTTGGAAGTTGGCCAAAGATGTCTGGAGCAGGTGAAATGAAGTTGAATCAATGAATAAATAAGTTTTTAAGACTTAAAGGTAAACCTTAGATGTGATATCTTTAGAACTTCTGATCCCAGATAAATCAGATAAAACTCCTAGAGTGGAAGTAGTGTGGCTATGTTCATTCAGCTTTAAAGAAGTTAGACATGGCTAACATCAGCTTTGGAAGAAACTAATTTAATCCAGCAAATAAAAAATGTTTAGGTCATGTATCTCAGAGATTGGAAGCTCATGATTTCATGAAGCTTACCTTTAGAAATCTTCACCTTTGTAATGGAAACATCTCTCAAAATGTTTCACAATAACACTCACGCGAAACCTAAAATTTACCATTTCATATAGAATCTGTCATTGGGCAAGCTATTTCCCCAGGCTTTTCCAGTTCTGGGGCCCATCAGTTTTTCCAATGAATCTCAAGCATAACAGCTTTGACACTTTCCCATTTCCAGCCACAACTCAACAGAAAACTGCAAACTAACTGCTGTCTGGACCTATATAGTGCATTAAAAGGAAGGACACATTTCAGTTCACGAAAGATTCTCCCATTCCATCTGAATTACCCTAAAACATGTCAGCTTCTCAGGCACACAACTGATTGCTTTTGCAGCTTTACAGGAGAAAACACAGTAGGTAAAACTTGAGAGTAACACATATCAAAGCAACTTTCTTCCTGCTGCTTTCCACGAAAAAGCTTCTGTCTTTTTTGGGTAAGTATTCACTCACCCCACATCAGCTTCCTTCACTGCCAGCTCATGTGATGGTCTAAACAGGGCCTCCTAGGTCCTGCCACACACTCTCGCTACCACTCCCCAACTCTGGGTTAGCTCCATGCACAGCTGAGAGAGAGTCAGAAAACTCAGCTGCTCCATTTAGGAGACAAGAGGAGGCTTCAAAAAACACTATTTCAATTTCACAGGCCAGCTCTGATGGCATCTTCTGAGCTTGTGTCTAAAGCAAATGTACGACAGCACTATAAAAAAGAAAAAAGTTACTCCTTTAATGAAGACACTTAAGTATCTAATTAACAAGTTAGGAAGCTAGGATTTACATTTATAGCTTGTCTCTGTTCTCTGGTATAAACAGGTTGACTGTGCCCTCTCTCACTGTGTGAAGTGTGTGATGTCAGGCCAAATTTCCCTGAGCAGAGCTCCCAGGCACCTGTGCAGCCAGGGGCACGCCAGTGCTGCGTCTCAGCTCACTCTGCCTGCCTAAAGCCACGAGGAGCTGACACACCGAGTATCCCTGAGCCCCAAGTCCCTGGCAGCATCACACTCAGCACAGGCTTAGCAGACACTGCCATCTGCATTCAGAAACATGTCAGAGGAGCCTGGAAGGAAACTGAGTAGGTGTAGCTTTGTGTCAGAGTATTTGCTTAGGAATCATGAGATCCAGGTTTAGGGTACTGAGCAGAAGGGACAGGCCAGAGCCAACACCCCAGGCATGCTCTCTTTCAATTTTCCCAGACTTGAGAGGACTTAGAAAAGTTCATCTCATCCTCATGACCTCTGAAGTGAGCTCCCAAACTGAAGAGCTGTAAACCAGAACAAAACCTTGTAGAATATACACAGCTCTTCTGTAACCACTGAACACAAAAGCAAAACTTTCCAAATTTAGGATGCAAGAAATTGCATAAGTTGCTTTTGCCTTTTGTATCTGGAATCCTTCACTCTGTCTCAGTCCTGGTCTCCCTCCTCTGTTTCCCTCCTTCTCACTCTATTTTATTTTTATTTTTGCTCCCCCAGGTATAATTTCCGAGGCTTCCGCTGGCTCCAGGCTATGATCTTTGCCATAGAAGAAATAAACAGTAGCCCAACTCTCCTTCCCAACATGACCCTAGGATACAGGATATTTGACACTTGCAATACAGTCTCTAAAGCCCTCGAGGCCACACTGAGTTTTGTGGCCCAGAACAAGATAGACTCCTTGAACCTGGACGAATTCTGCAACTGCTCAGAACATATCCCTTCCACCATTGCAGTCGTGGGGGCAACCGGCTCTGGCATCTCTACTGCTGTGGCCAATCTGCTGGGACTCTTTTACATACCTCAGGTATGCGTTGACTTTTCTTGTTTAGGTACAGCTGGGAGTATTGCTGTTTGGAGGGGATCTTTAAGTACATTATAGAACCAGGACAGGGAACTGCACTGCTGCCTTATGTGCTCCATCTCTGTTTCAAACAAAGGAAGGTTTAGAAATGCAATGGCCCTAGCTGTACAAATACATCCTTGGAGGGCTGAGGGGCAACACAACAATGAGAAGAACTTGCTTTTGAAGTGGAACAACAGTTTACATGAAAGAAAGCAGTCTATTTCCCTCCAAACTTATTATGTCAAATCAAACCAAGTATTTTTTTAGTCGGAGATACAAGTCTTCAGGCTAACATTTGCCAGAAATGTATTTTATGTGCAGTGGCTGTGTCAGCTTCTCCATCCCACTCTCTGCCAATGTATCCTAACTGCACACCAGAAGGTCTCAAGGGGAGTTCAGCCTCCATGGCTTGTTTAATCTTTGGCATTTCCAGTAGAACCTCAAGGAGAGAAACAACACAAAACGTAGGGGTTTTCTGATGTAGGGGGTCTCTGATGGTAGAAATATGTCTTGCTAGCAATTTGCAATCCCCAAACACAAAGGTTACAAAGCAGCCAATAGCAACTTTCAGCCAACAGCAACTTAGTAGAGGAGGACTAGAGTCCTCTAGAGTGGTTTAGTCTGTGAACACAGGTAATTTAGGTGACTCATTGGCAGCTGCCAGCCTTGATGACAGGTTAGTTGTGATGTTACTTCACCATGGTCACTGTCTAGTCATGCCAAACTCCTACAGAGCCCACTTAAGGCAGAGCTCAGTCATTGCCAGCTGCTCCCTGGTCTCTCAGCATCTCCTGATCATTCAAATAGGTGATCTGTAAAGTTGTTGCTTCTGCTGATCAGGTGCTGTGCAGGTTCCTTCTGGGCTGACCTGCCTTTCTTTTGCCCTAAAAGGGCAAAACAGAGTTTGTGAGAGCATGTGCATATGCCCCGCCTTGTCCTGGGGTCATCTGCGTGGTGGTGTAGTCGTGCCAGCTCCTGTGTTGCAGCGTCCTTCTTGCTGTCTGCTGACTACTGGGGCCCGTGCCAGCATCCACATTCCCATCCTTTTGTTTAACAAACTTGTTGCCCTAAGCAGACTATGAGACTGGCATATTATAGCTTAATGTTGTTGCTCTTGATTTTAGATTTCCACCCTGAAGACAACTTTGGAAAAAGTGCTTAGCCTTATCCATTTATGTGTTGCCTTGTACAGCCTAACATTTCCAATTCCTCTTCTAAAATAAATACAGGTGACAGAGCTCACAGGAGTCATTGTAACAAGATTGTGTCACACTGCACTCTCAGTCTGTCCTGAGAGGATATATTTTTATTTCAGTCAGGGCTCCAATTCCCATCTACACCACAAATGAAGAAGGAAGGATTCTTGTCTGCCTGGTGCACAGTAATATATCTTGTCTACTTAATGTTATCAGTCTGACTCTCTCACAAGTATCTGAAAAAATGGACATTTGGTCTCTGAGCAGGGCAAGAATGGTTTAAACTGAGACTAATACATGCTACCTAGGTATTGCCCAGAGTAGCATTGGAAGGTGGCATGTAATAAACACCATGATGGCATTTTAAGGTGTACTGTTAATTTGCACATCGCATTACTAGGTGAACAAGCGCAGCTGAGAAGGGTTGGTGGGTTGAACTGAAGATAAGTGATGTTTGCAGTTCTCAGACTTTCCCTTTGAACAGGGAACGGCATTTGTGCTAGGAGGCAGTAGTCTTATCTAGACGTTGCTGAAATAGGTAGATGTCAGGAGGTTCAGTTCTGGAACGATATCTCAGCCAGGTGGTTGAAGTATGACAACTGAAAGCCGGCTTTTAAACTGGGAGTTGTTGGGCAGCATTAGAATACACATTATCGCTGCCATTTATAGCAAGGCCATTAGCAAATCCATGCTTAATAGACCCTGCATTTCAGTACAAGTTGGAGGTATATTTTACAATTAATGTAAGGCTCATTACTCATTCCGTTGACATAGAAACTGAAAATGTTACAACTCCAGTTCTGTTTCTCAGTATCTCACATCAGTGTACCCTTATAACACATGCAGGAGAGAAGTACCTTGCCTGTACCCTCTGGCACTAGGTTTTAGGACATGAGAGTAGCACTGGGCAGGAGCCTGTTCAGGGGAGAGTATAGCTCTGTGAAAGGAGTATTTGCTCCTGTGGCCCTTGAAACTACAGTGGGACACCTCCTTTCTTCTTGCAGAAACATTAAATGCCAGAGTTTAAGGAAGAGATAAGGTTTTCTGTAAATTTCCACTTTATACAAAATGAACAAAAAAAAGACTTTTTCAAAGTGAGAGTCAGTCCTAAAGAATTCAGATCCCAATCTCAGAATGCAAAGATAAGTGAGTTTTAAAAGTTCACCAGATCTTTAAACTATTCTCTTCTGGGTTTTATGGTTTTCTTCCTACTTGTAGAAAATCCAAATTATATCTTAAAAGCATATGGCACTTGTTCTAATTAGGAAAAAAAAATCTTTCTTGATAGCTTTAGAAAAGGAAATAAAATCCCATTTTTACTGTAAAACATAGTGGCTTATGGAGTGTGGAATGCTTACTGACTTCTTTGCTGATTCTGGCCAGCAATCAGGAAATACTTCTAAGGTAGTATTGACCAGCATTACCTTAACACTCTGCAGGGTCGAGGCGACTGATATACATCACATTCTTCAATTGGCAGGGATTGTATATCACACACATATGGTGTGTGATGAAGCCTGTTTAAGGATGGGGACAGAGGCAAGGAGAGATAAACAATGCTCTTCAGAATAGGTCTGGGATGGCAATACCAGCCTGCTGTCTCATGTCTGGTTCAGGACAGAGGAAGCCTGCATTTTGTCTGAATTATGTGCATTGCCCTCGTTTATCTAAAAGATACATTCTTCTCGTTTCTGGATTTGGCAGGAAGTGCAGCGAGATGCGTGCATGCCACCCATGGCTCACTTCTTTGCCATTCCTCCAAGCTAGGGTCAGTGTCTCTCTCCCTCAGATCCTTGACCTTACAGGTGGACACGAGCTTGCTCCAGTCTCTCGGGTCCGAGCAGCTGCTCCTGTATGTGTGCCTCTGTAAGACAGTCACTGCTACAAGAATATACAGATTCTCAGAGTGGATCATGTGCAACCACAAGCTAAGAGTATGTGACTGCCAGTGTGGTGCTCAGCTCTCCCTTCATACCATCCAAGGTTACACAGGTTGACAGTGATGCTAGATAAATGTAGGCAATTTAATCCCCAGCAGTTCACTTCATGGTGCGTTTTGCTTGTTCATTGTGCTCTCACAGGTCAGCTATGCCTCATCCAGTCGTCTCTTGAGCAATAAGAACCAGTTCAAGTCCTTCCTCCGCACAATCCCCAATGATGAGCATCAGGCTACAGCAATGGCAGACATCATCGAGTACTTTCGCTGGAACTGGGTAGGAACAATTGCAGCTGATGATGACTATGGCCGGCCAGGGATTGAAAAGTTTCGGGAGGAGGCAGAGGAGAGAGACATCTGCATTGATTTTAGTGAGCTCATCTCCCAGTACTCAGACGAAGAGGAGATCCAGCAGGTGGTGGAGGTCATCCAGAACTCCACAGCAAGGGTGATCGTTGTTTTCTCCAGTGGCCCAGACCTGGAACCACTCATCAAAGAGATTGTCAGGCGAAACATCACTGGAAAGATCTGGCTGGCGAGCGAGGCCTGGGCCAGCTCTTCCCTGATAGCCATGCCGGAGTTCTTCCGTGTCATTGGCAGCACCATTGGGTTTGCACTGAAGGCAGGACAGATCCCAGGCTTTCGTGAGTTCCTGCAGAAGGTGCATCCCAAGAAGTCCACCAACAACGGCTTTGCCAAGGAGTTTTGGGAGGAGACGTTTAACTGCTATCTCCCTGATGGGTCCAAAAATTCTCCAGCTTCAACTTCCTTCTACAAGGGCCATGAAGAGGGACTGGGAGCTGGAAATGGAACAGCTGCCTTCCGACCTCCATGCACAGGGGATGAGAACATCACCAGCGTGGAGACACCGTACATGGACTACACGCACTTGCGGATATCCTATAATGTGTATTTGGCAGTATATTCTATTGCCCACGCCTTGCAGGATATATATACCTGTACCCCTGGGAAAGGACTCTTCACTAACGGATCCTGTGCAGACATTAAGAAGGTTGAGGCATGGCAGGTAAGTCCTTCATTTGTGTGCCTGTGCAATATACTTGCAGAAAAAAGACAAGCTGTCTCGGAGCTCTTAGGGTGCCTTTCACAATCCTGGGTCTCAGACACAGTGTCAGGCTCCTGAGATGTAGCATATCACTGTGTGCAAGTTAGGTGCACTCTCCTACCCCACAGGGAATGTAAGGTAAGTTGTGTTAGGTTTGCCTGCAGTTAAAAGCGCTTAAACTAAGTTGAATTTTCTTGCATTCACTACGGGGCCAGAAGTGCACACACAGACAATTACCACAGCCTGGCTGATGGAAGATAACTTGATCATATATTGAACCCTTACGTAAACAAGAGGGCCTGCAGAGAGCACATAAACAAGGAAAACAGGTTTTAGAGTTCATTTTCTTTGGCAAGCTCTACATCTTTTGCAATCCCACAGCAATTTTCCATACAGGCCATATTTTTTTTTCCACAGTTTTAAGCTTATATAGGATGAAACTAAAGCAGATTGAGTTATGAAGGAAAATAACATGTGGCTATTGGGCAAATAATAGATAGCTGCTTTGATTTGATGGTGAACTGATAAAATTATACTAACGACTGAGTCACATTCATTCAATGCGTTCTGCCCACTGGCATATGGAAGGTATTTTGGCATTTTGTCTCCTGATCCTTTATGAATACTCTATACCTTACCATATGTTTGATTGTGCTATCTGATGTGATATTCAGTCTGGTTTTTTAATATCTACCGCATTCTTAAATAACAGAGTTAGCTTGTAAGGATATCAAATGAAGATATGCCAAATATGTAGCAAATTCTGTTCGCCCCATTCTGGTCATCACAGAAAACTTGGACCCGAACATACCTGAAATCAGAACAACATGGATGAATATAAGGAGGATCACATCCCTGTTTGCACATGTAATTTCCTGTATTCAGGATAGTCCAACCAAGATGAAGGCTATCCGTGCCACAAACTTTGAGGTGTTGGGTCAGCATTTGCATGTGGGAACTGCAGTTCGCTTCCTGTCTAGTCTCAGTCAGCTCAAAACCAGGAGTCAGATCAAAGTAAAAGGCTTTGTCTTGGCAATTATGGGAAACCTGCATTGCTCTAGGTATGGGATTTGGGTTTACTGAAACCACTTTACTCAGAGCTGATGAGTGCAGGGTTTGACCCTGGTTTAGGGGAATCCTACAATTGCTGGCTCTCTCTGAGGTTTCTGTCTTTCAAAGCTATTCTGCTTTTCAGGAGCATACTGGCAGAAGTGGGAAAGTCACAGACAGATTTAGCTTTCACTGTGTCAATAAAAATGATCCAGAATAAATATATTTTTAATTTGTTCCCTTATTCCTTGTCAACTTGGAAAGTAAAGCAGGATATTTATACCATAGCTAAGTAAAATAATGTGGTGGTTGTTCAGGATTCCACAACTGGAAAGAATGTCCTCTTATTTCTGTGTTGCTTGTCTGGTGCTGAAGGACGGCTGTATCAAAATGTAAAGCATCCTGCTGATTTAGGCTTTTGGGTATGCATAGTTGCCTTAAAGGAGGGAATCAGCATCAAGAAAGAGTATGTGAGGGATAACACAACTGGATAAGAATAGCAGGTGCTACAAAGAAACAGGCTGTATTTGAAATGACCACCATTATGGGGTGTTGGCTGTCAAGCATATTTGATATTTGTGAATTTTTTCACTTCATTTCAAAATCAAACACATGAATAGCAGGTAAATGCCAAATATGTGTGCACACCTACTTCATATCAGGCATTGTGGCTCATTACACTCAGGAAGCTTTCCTCAGTGCCAGGGGTAATGAGTTCATCTCACAAATATGCACCCTCCAGCATCTCCAGAGAGTGGTTCTCTGACCACCAGACAGAAGAAAACCTTTCTACTAAAGTCAATCTCATTTGCAGCGGTACTTCTGCCAGTGGTCAGAGAGCGAGGACGGTGTTAGGAACCCTCCACGCCGCTAACAGTGTCTGCAATCACAGACCAGGTGGTGTGCGGGACAGATAAGGTGAACCCGGTGAACTGGTGTCTCCATTAGCCTGAGCTCCTATCCAGAGCAACCCTTGCCAGCTGGGTCAGTGGCTGGGGAGGATAAATGGTGTGTTCCACAATTTAATTATGTACCATTTAATTTTGTTGCTTTTCAATGGCATTATCCCATTAACATGTATTATTTATTTGTTGTCTGCTAATTGTTAATTTTATGTATTCAGAATGTAAACTTTTTTGGAGGAACTGGTTTATATAATTTGTGGAAGGTACTTGTGTAGGTCTGTATATAAAAATAACATTTTTGCCTCAGTGATCAGTTCATTTGAACTGGACAGCAAGAAGCTTAGCACAGAATTACTGCGAGTTGGTTAAATTGGGTGCAATTCTCCTATTAAGAATTTACCATCTACTCTTTAAGAAGGCTCTAAGTATGCTTCAGCATGGGGAACACAGGATTTTTCTGTGTCTCCCAAGCTGAAATGTCAAATACTAACAACTTTCTTCTCTACTTATTTATAGCTACTTCTTTAAGAAACTGCTTACTCATTTTCTCTGAGTTGGTGGTCTGTGACAGACCCCGTCCATAAACGCAGTCTTGCATCCTTTTGTTTTACCAACACCTCTGAAGCTGGCAGTGGGCACCTCCACTAGAGATGGGACTGGTCAGCCCGAGCTCGCAGGCTGCTGCAGCATGTGCGGAGATGCGGGTGCAGGCAGAGCTGGTGAGCAGGCAGAGCAGCTTCCAGACAGGAGCCGTGCCACTCACTCCATGCACAGAGCTGCACGTGGGGTTCAGTCCTCTTTCTGAAAATGGGAAAACTGGCAATTCTGTACTCTACAGAAAATTACAGACTGTAATAGGATGTCAGTGCTGCTCTTATTCTGAGCAATGTACATGCCTGCAGCTGTCATGTTTGAAGAACCTACCCTGCTGCAAGGCAGAAGATAATCCAGGGGCACACCTTTGCAAAATTCCTGCAAAAAGCAGATAGTATCCTCTGCATGCGCCTCTGTTGTATCCTGCACAATATTGATCAAGATCAGATTAATTAATTCTTTTTGTGGTGTTTTGTTCAGGTAACAAAGAGGTGCAGGGCAGTCCAGAGTAAAACATATAAGCAATTTCTGTCACATTTGGAAAAGGCAAAATTTTACACAAAGCACTAAGAATTAAACTGCAAATAGTACAACAGAAAAAATCCCGATTATCAGATGCCCATTCTCTTTTGCTGGTGGGCTGTGATTTTTTTTAGGAGACTAAATTGAGTAGGGCTAATCCTATGTGTTGCTCTGGTTCATGGACTGGGCTTCCCCAAGTACAGGTTCTCCCATAAGCTATAGAATAGCAGTGGGAAGGTATGGCAAGAGGTGGAACACAGGCTCAGGATTCCTGTACTGATGCTGCCTCTTTGTCAAAATTCCCTGCATCTTTGGCCTGTTTCTCCCTAACAGCTCAAACAATTGGTTTTTGAAGCCCTTTTTTCTTACTATCATCTTCCTTGATAAGATTTCCTAGGTCCCTCAAGTTCTTTAATTTTCTTGTTTTCTGCTCACATGGCTAGTCCCATGGTCACTTCTAACAGCAAGTCCATCTGTTCCTTTTTCAATTCTCCTCTGAGCAAAGATTCATAACTCTTTGGGGCATTTACAGGAGCCTCTCTAGTGTCTCTCTCATTTCAGTGGGTGGTCTTGCAAAAAATAAGAGGAAAACCAGTAAGGGATCCTAATCTGTCCTTCAGAGCGAATTTTATTATTTCATATTTTTTCTGTATCTTTTCCTCAGACATAGTTGAGTCTGTGTTTCTACCCACTCATTGGGCTTCTTAATGATTGCCAACAAGCAGCTGATGGGCTTTACTGTCTCACAGTAAAAGGATTGCGATTAAATGGGGAAGATAGGCTCCCATGGATTTGAGACAGCAAAGGTGTGCAGTCACAAGGTCATGGAGCAGGGCATCCTTAGATGGACTCCCAGACAGTTTTCAGGTTGTGGTTACACCGGAGGCTGTGAACTTTGGCAGGTTCATGAGTGAAAAATGAGATAGCTCTTCTAGGCATCACGGCAAAGCATGCTGTACAGGCTGAAAAATGTGCTGTCCTAAAGATTAGCAGGTTAAAGACATGCTCATGTAAATTATTCTATGCCTAGAAATCTGATTTGCCTCAGACAGTGAAAAGCTGCCATATGCTGTTTCACAAAATAAAAGCAAATACAAAGTGGCTTCACCTAGCAACACCTAAAGTCATTTATTACACCTGTGCATCTCCCAGCCAACAGTTCCTTCCTCTGTGCTGGAGATATGCATTATGAAGAAGTAAAAATGGATTGGTGCCTTCTCCAGCTATTTTGGATTAACCCATCAGGCAGCTAAAACAACCATACAGCTGTTCATTCACTCCCCACCCTCAATGGGATGGGGGAGAGAATCAGGGGAAAAAAAAGGTAACAATCATGGGCTGAGATAAAGACAGTTTAATATGACAGAAAAGGAAGATAATAATAGTAGTAATAATAACAACAACGATAAAAGAATATGCAAAACAACAACAACAATAATGATAAAAGAATACGCAAAACAAGTGATGCACAGCACAGTTGCTCACCACCCGCAGACCACTGATGACCAGCTAGTTCCCAAGCAACAGTCCCAGCCCCCAGCCAGCTTCCCCCAAGTTATACACTGAGCATGACATTATATGGTATGGAATACCCCTTTGGCCAGTCTGGGTCAGCTGTCCTGGCTGTGTCCCTTCCCAGCTGCTTGTGCACCCCCAGCCTGCTTGCTGGTGGGGTGGTATGAGAAGCTGAAAAGTCCATGACTTGGTGTAAATGTTGCCTAGCAACAAGCACAACATCAGTGTGTTGTCAACATGATTCTCATCCTAAATCCGAAACACAGCAGCACTATACCAGCTACTAGGAAGAAAATTAACTCTATCCCAGATGAAACCATGACACCAACTTTACATTTAGGTTAGGTCTATCTGGCTGGAAACTGATTCTGCAAG